TTGCCGTGACTCCCCGGAGGGGTGGGCAGGGCCCGGGATGCGGAGGAGCCCTTGATTTTCACGGGAAGTTACCGCTCCCCTGAAGAGGAAGAAGAGCTGCCAGCAATGCTGGCTCCTCTTACTATTGTCAGAGCCAGAAAGGCGATGGTCTGCATCGCAGTTCGTGGTTTGGTTCCCCTCTCCTGTTTGCACGTGGATGCCCGGCAGTACCTCAGTGCTTGGCTTGAGCAGGGCCCCAGGCCAGTGCTGGGGAAAAGAGAGTTGCAGTTGATGTGTCTTTGTTCCTTTAGTGATCAATAACTGGACTCTGCTCAGGTGAAGCAGGTGAGAGCTCTGGACAGAGCGCCATGGGGTATCTGCACGTGGGTCTGGCCCTTCTACATTGCAGGCTGCTCATCAGGGCTCTGCATCTTGTTTCCCTGTAGAATTACTGATCTTTATCTTCTTAAATGGTCTCACTTGGATTCAGTTGTCACCTCTGCTGGGAATTCCTGTATTTAGTCTCAGAAAAACCTGTCCTGTCTTGTTTGAGACACTAAACAAGATCTTATTTCTGTACTGCTTTTAACGTCCAGCTTGGCTACTCCAGCTAATGTGCATCAGCACTCTCCCTGAGTTTCACCCTTCCCTGTTCTGGGAAGTTCACACCTTCTTCATTGCCTTCAGCAACCCATCGGGATTGTCCACCAACCAAACTGTCTTTCATTTTGAAAGACTATCTGCTGGCACGTGACACTGACTTGCCTGATTCTCAACTATCCTCAAGGCAAGCCTGTGCCACAGTCTTTATTCAGTATAATGATGTTTATGTGATGCTGGACATGAGTAATTGATACCTATTATTGTGTATTCTGAAGTTATGAATGTGAGTTTTCACAAACTTGCTTTTTTCCTAGGAACTTGGCTGTTTATTGAAGTGTACAAATTGAGCTATTTATGTTGATGTTGCACTCCAAGTAATTGAGAGATTGCAGAAAGGATGCAATTCCTGTACTGTATGCGCAGGAAGGTCTTCACCTTTACCCAGCAGCAAGTAGAAATGGTTTCTCACAGCTATGGCTTCCACACAGACTTGCTGCTTCAGAGCTTAAGTGGTGTGTTTCAAAGGCGTATGTGATTAAAGTGCTTTATGGTATGAGAAAGTACATGCTCTGTATAAGATTTCTGGCAGTTCTTTTATTCATTGGTCTCTTAGTGTTCAGTTTTGATGAACTGGAATGCCTAAGAAGTAGTTGTTACAATAGCTGGAGAATACATTTTTTCCCCACTTAAAGTGCTGCTCTATAAACTTCACAATATAAACACTGCTTTTCATTTTAGCTCAGAGGGTTTTTTAAGTTTAGAGACTTTATATCAAAATTAGTGTCAGAATTATGAACATAGCAACAATGTTGAAGTTGGTGACAGTAGTATCAACCCTGTGCTTAGGACGGACAGAATTTAAACCACTTAATCTCTGAAGGGTTAGAAGAACCATGAATTACTGATATGCGATTGAAGTTGTATAGAGAGCTAGTACATTATTATTCAGCCCTAGATGCCACTGTTTAAGGATCATACAACTTCAGTATGTAATTTAAATGCTATTCTCTTTACTTTTTGTCATCCAAGTGATATAAAGAAAAAAATTAGCTTGAAAGAGACCTCAGGAAGGAATCTGGTTCAACCTCTTACTCAAAGCAGGGCTAACTTCAACTGATTTGTGTTTGGTTCCTGTTAAATCTCAACATGTGCAATATCTTAAATACTGGATAAGGAGATTCCATATGTTTTAAGCACTGCAAGAGAGCAGTCTGTCTTGTTAGATGCTAAACTTAAATTGCAAGCAAAGGAAGTTCAAGCCTGTTACTGTCCTGTCCGCAGTGAACACCAGAAACTTACTCCCCCTTCTGTAAAAGTATGAAGAAACTAGAGCGTTTGAGCAAGAAGTGTCTATGTAACCTCTGCTTTCCAGACGTCCAGTCATCTTGTTGTGCTTCCTGACCCTTCAGAGGTCTACCTCCACAGAGCCCTACACATGAACACAAACTGTATTGTAAAACACTAGCTGCAGCGTGGTGTGGGATTGATTTCCTGCTCATCTGTAAACAATAGTCACTGTAACTTTTCATGGGAGACAGCCCTTCGGATTGCTGCAGAAACTTAAAGCCGTACTTTGGGATGCGCCAGAAACCGTTAAACACTTCGAATGCAGGGGCAGATGTACTCAACTCCTAGAGCCCTCTCAAACGCCCTCACTGTCATTCTGTCTACAACAAGGATGTAGTTTTCTACCTTTTTAGTTAGAAGCCTTGGGACCAGCCAACTGAGAGGCTGCCTGGACAGCTTTGGGCTTTGCAGGTTGTGTGTTTCTCTGTGTGGAAGCCAAAAGGTTGATCCCGGTGCGCAGAGAAGACATGGTGCTTTCCAAGCTAGCCATGGGATTCTGCAGTAGTCCTTGGGTAGCTTTAGTATGTCTTGCTATGAGCCGTGTGCTGTGATAATGTAATCTTGAGCAGGGATGTCAGTGGTACAGCTCATGTCTAAAAGGCCACAAGCATTGTTTTCAGTTCATAATCTGCTTCTGGTTGACTAGGTTACAGCTGTAGTATATGATCAAACAGCAGCTGGAGATCTAAAATAAATTGGAGAGGTTATATACCCTAGGAACTAACGGAAGATGGTTATTTGAAGGAAGTGACTGACAGCTTGTCCTTGCACCAGTTAAGATTCCCTTCCAATTAGGTGTAAGCTGAGGTGTTAAACAGCATCAGTGTGACAGGGGCAAAGTTTGGCATTGAGCTGCTGTACCTGGAGCTTACTGCTCCTTGCGAGCTCACATATGTGTTGAACAGAGGTAGAAGACTGCTTGTAGCACTAGCTGCTGCTTGCTGGGGGAAACCTGGATACAGCTTTTCATCTCTAAGAACAGAACTCGTGACAAGTAGCCCTGTCTACAACTGTCAATGCTCCTGATAAGTTAGTCTAGTATACCTGGGATGCTCAGCATTGGGGTTGAGTGTATGCACTTTTTGCTGCCCTTTTTCTGGGGAAGCTGTGGTGCCCCCCGTCCCTTATCAGGGCTGTCTGCTTGTATCTTTCCAGCTATGCAGTGGGAGTGGCAGCTGGCTGGCACATCACCACAGACTGTGACATGGCAGGTGCTTGTGAAAAGTCTGCTTAGGATGTAATTTGTAAAGGTATTGCAGGAATCGTGATATGTCCTGGCAGAGAGGTTGAGTACTTCTGTGGTAACCTGTTAGAAGCAATTGATGCAACTCCAGTACGGAATTCTTCTATTGGCAAAAAGCATACATCAAACCAGTATGTGCTGGTGCTTATCTGAACTGGCAAAGCCTCATGATGAGAGAAAACAACTAGACTAGTAAACTTGCTGAGCTTCTGTAACTTGTGGCTGAAAAGCTTTCATATGATAGTGTCTGGTGTAACCATGCTACTTATTTTCCTGCACTAACAATCCAGTAAGTCTGAGTCTTACCTCTTCCTCTTTAATGGCTCAGATTAATTTATGCTTCTACCTGGTAGCTGCACACAGTCAATTGCAAGTTTTTTTCCACTATAATGTCTAATGTCACTGATTAGTACCTGCTCAAGTGTTCTGATAGCTGGGACTCAGTAAACCCTCAGCAGGCACTGAGGTTTTGGATTTATCACTAAAAACTTGCTTTGTGGTCAGTGGGTATGAATTGTAAAACCAGCATGGAGTAGAGAGACTTTTAATAGGAAGCTCTTATCACTGATAAAACTTTACTTCTACCTGTATAATAAATATATGAAACCAACGGTGCAAACTTCAGCTCTAAAGCCCTCTAAGTTTTTTTTGGTGGGTTTGTGGGGTTTTTTTTATTCCCTGCTGCTTCAGGGGCCTCTCCTGTGGTCTCTTGCAGAGGCAGTTGTCTCAAGCTGAATGCTTACGTGGGGCAGGGAAGAAGGGGAATATGACAGTATAGCACTGTGGGGAAGTACTCGGTTTTGGAGTAGGATTCTTCACTCCAGTTGGTCTATGGTCTTTACCTTCACAGCTTGATGTAAACAAAACTGTTTATACAGGCTGCTGAAAAAGTTGGCATTTGAGGGAACAGATGTGTGCAATAAGGAGATTCAAGGTTCTGGAGGTAACCTGGTTTGGTGGTTTTTTTGTTACTTTTGGCAAGTATTACAAGAGTAAGTTTTAATTACATAAATATTAACTTAAGCAATGCTGTAATGGTAGTACTGGACTAATAGTAATCTTTCTAATGCTAAAGTGCGATCCTTTGGTACTGAAGACCGGCCCACAGACCGACCTGCTCCTCCAAGAGAAGAAATCTATGAATACATTATTTTTCGGGGGAGTGACATCAAAGACATCACTGTCTGTGAACCTCCAAAAGCTCAACATACTCTGCCACAAGATCCTGCCATCGTTCAAGTAAGTTAGCCTGAAGTGTTGATTGAAAGCTATGGTAAAACATTGGTGATGGACTTGATTTTGGTATAAACTTATAAAAATGAAGGCCAATAAGTGTCTCCAGTAATCTTCAGATTGAAGCATCCTGAATTTTGTTGTAATGTCTAAAATAGCAGCAGCATTAAAGACTTCAGTCAACAAAAACCAGAGCTAGCTTACCTAGCTGAGAGTGCAGGAAAATCATAAAGAGGTAAACTAACCCTTCTCAGTATTTACTTAAGCTGTAGTAATGCTGTACGTGAAGTAGAGAATCACTGCCAAAGCAAGTTGACTTCTGGACACTGTAAATGGAAATGTACTTTGTCTTGTTACAGTCTTCACTGGGCTCTGCCTCTACATCATCCTTTCAGCCACATGTGCCTTACAGCCCGTTTAGAGGTATGCCACCTTACAGCCAGCTTGCTGCCAGCTCTTTACTTAGCCAGCAGTATGCAGCTTCATTAGGTTTAGGTAAGTAAAAACTTTACTTGCTGGAATAAAGATACAGTCCTTGTATGCAGCTACTGGGAAACCAAATAACAGTAACTAATACCAATTCCTTGCCAACTGTCAGGCTGCAACAAGCAGTGAATAAGTAGTTAACAACTTTGTGCAATGATCTTATTGCAAGGAGACCTGCATTTCACTGACACATGCAGATGCACACAAAAGAAAGAAACAAACTAAATAGCTAACGTTTCTTTCTGAAAACAATGCGAGTACCTAACAGTTGAGGTCAGTTCATTTCTAATCTAACATACCTTTACATATACATCACATGTAAAAAGAACTTGTATTCCCAGAGAGGACTGTAAATAAGCTGCTCTAATGCTGTTCTAGAGATTCTTGTATCTCTTTCCAAGTCCTTCAGGTGTTTCACTACCTTGTATCTTATCCATATATCTTTGCTTTCTCTTCTTCCCTCTATCTCTTTAGAGAAATTGGTAAGCCCTCCAGCATCAGCAGCTGCTTCCAGCCCTAGTTCCTCTCCGTCTCCACAACCTGTTTCAGAGCCTGACATGTCTTCAGAGCCCCATCAGCTCTCTTCCAAGGGTAACAGCAGTTTGAGGACTCCAAATATTTGGAAGAACTGCATGGCACTTGCAAACACTCTGTTCTTGTTAACCCCTCCCAGAATGATAGTACTTATATGGGTAATGCTAGTAGAACTAGTTTGTTCTCAGCTATTTTTGCCTTTCATTACATGAAGTATTCCTCCTGTCCTAGAAGTATCAATTAGAGACAGGAGAAAGAAAAAGTACAGGACAGCGGATCCTCTTGTGTAAGTATCAGGACAGGGCTGAGGTTTAGGGATGTTGATGTGCTGCATCCTATCCAGAAACATGTGTCACCTTGGAGACTGGGCAAGGAATTAATTAGTCTTTTTCCTGGAAAGACAAGTACACTGCTTAAATTGTGGGTGGCCTTGCTGTTAGAGACACAGGTTAACAGAAAATTCAGGAGTATTGCTGTAATTGAGGAAATATCAGGGCAGATATCATGCATGATGGGGCATAGTACCTTGTCAAGACTCCCAATTAGTAAAGCATGACTAACAGTAAGCAATTTCTGAGTTGTGGTAAGCTGAGATAACGTAGTTCTGGGTGCTTGCTTCTATGTGGAAAAACTTTTAAAGGAGGTTGAGTAGAGATACTAGACTGACCATCCTCAGAGAGACCAGGTGCAGCCTGCATTTAAAAATGGTAATTAGTTTCATCTGTTTTTAACTTAAGCATGTATGCTTGTGTTGGCATGAAACTGTTTTTACTTACTCTCTGTTTTTGGCCATCTATCAGTACATACTTTCTCAATATTCTGGCTAAGCTTTGAAACTCTCTCATGTTAAACTTGCACAGCAGCTTTGTCCTACTGAATAATCCTTAGGATATGTCTGTGTTCCTTGCGAGCTTTCCAGGTGTACATTAACTGGGAACCTGCATGATGTTACCTACTGGGTATATCTCATATGGACTTGGGTGACCCAGAAGTGTCAGTGGCTTGGTTTGTGTGTACTCTTCAGCTTTTCACTTTTCTTGCTCTTAAAGTATATTCAGTTAAAGTTTTGCTTCCGAGCAGTTCTTGCGCATAACTACATAAACCTGTAGTACTCCAAAACTTCTAATTAAATCTAGAATGCAGTGTTTCTTCTGAGTACTGAAGACTGTCACTTTTTAATATAATTGGTGTAAGGTATACCAAACCATGAAAAGTATTTACGTGTTTTGTAGTGTGAATAAATAAGCCTGGATGGAAGAGCAACAGAAGTCTTGGTAACACTTTGGCCTTGACCAAGAAGGAATTTAAAAGGGTAACTTTGAGATCCTGGTCTGGTTTCAGGTTTTCTTTGTTTGAAAGCTAACAATAAGCAGTGAAGTTGAAGGACTTCTAAAAGCAGCTTACAAAATGGGATGTAGTTGAGGTGGTTAAGCTTTTGCTGCAAAAGTTTTTTGACAAAGTGGGGAAGCTTTCTTGAACAGTTTCAAAATGGTGGATTTTTGCTTCAGATTTAAAGTATTGCATAAAGTAAAATCTTACATAACCAAGGATACACCTAGAAATTAAATTTTGGTATAAACTAAGAGACTGACCTAGCTTGCTTATCTAATGTGTGTCTTACTTGGTGTAAGAAATAAATGGGTAGATTTCCTGATTTTAAAGCTCTGGATTTGAGAGCCAAGACTTGTATGGCAGTAGTGCCTTACCTATTGTATATGCCACTTAAACGTAGTGTGTAACAATAAACAATCAAGGCTTTGAGTAATTTTTGACAAAATGGTTTCTCCGTAGAAGCGGGTAGGGTTTGAATAGTGTTGGTGCATTTTCTGAGAGGCACTTAGTCATTGGGATTTTTTCCAGGTGCTGGCTTTCCTTCTGTTCACCCCGTCCGCAAAAGCCCCATGGTGGAACAGGCTGTCCAGACTGGCCCGGTTGACAACATGAATTCACAAAAGCCACCCCCAGTGAAAGTAACTCCAGGGGTTCAACGCAATGGACGGCAGGTGCCACAGGGCAGTGGTAAGACAAATGGTACGTAGGCACCGCTTCATCTTTAAAGTGCTGGTTTGAAGCATCCTTCAAAGGTGCAAGACAAAACTGTTCTGGTCTTGTTCTTGTGCTCTTTTATTAAGTTTATCTTTCTTGTTCAGTAGATACAGTTCAAGCAGCACCTGTGCAAACCCAAGGACAGGTGAATGATGAAAACAGAAGACCTCAAAGGAGAAGATCAGGTAGGTTAATATGATGCTAAATGGTCACATTAGCCTATAAAGGCAAATATTGCTAATTCTAGCAAAGGATTATCAGACAGAAGGTTGAGAGCAAAATAAAGCTTGATAAGGCTTTGGGCATCCAGAGATGTTTCCCTGACAAAGTAAGTTCTGGAGCTACAGAAGTCCAGAACATTCCAGGGATAGAATACTAGTGTCTTTTTAGAAACTTGAAGGTATGTTATATAAATTGATGCTACGAGTTGGCAGCAACAACTAGATTTCTCTCAAACCTGAAGTATTTTTACTGGGAAGGGCAGCCTGTTGAAGAATTTCCAGAGCTCTTATAAATGAGAAGAGTGATGGAGCCCTCTTTTCATAGAGCAGAGGTCTTAGCTCAAGACTGCAGTTTAAGCAGAGGTCAAAAGTTAATTTACGTACAGACAAATACTTCTGCCTAAGCAAAATGAGAAAAGGCAGGAAACAAAGCTTCAGACTCTCAGGTCTTCAAATTAATTTGCCTGAGGACAGCACTGTAGAAGGGGTTATAGCTTTTCCAGAAAGGAGTTGATAGCTTCTCAGTTGGAAACCAGAAACTCTACAAAGCACAAGCTCGTTTTGTGGGTAGATGAATCTTGGGTGGATTTTCTGAAACCAGTGCCCTGCTCCTTTTCGCCATCATGACAGGTTTGTAGACTAATTGCAGTACTATGCTTGCAGATGAATAGCAGACAGAAAAGATATTTTCTCCTGCTTCCCTCAGCTTTTCTTGGTATAGTACTTGTTCTGATCTCCTCCCCTTATACTGCAAAGGGAGTTGGGTATACTCTGTCATAAGACCAACCCCCAGGAATGCTTTTCAGAAAGTTAAAAGTGTTGCTGTGATATGTCTTCTGCAGCCGAGTTCAGAAGTTACTCTCAAAGAGGTATGGCCTAACCACAGGACTGCAAGCCAGAAACTCCTGAGTTCTAACCCTGTTTTCTTCTGGTCTTGAGCAAGTCACTTAACCTCCCTGTGCATTACCAAGTGTTTAAACTCTCCTGCTTTCAGGAAACAGGAGAACCAGAAACCGTTCTAGAGGACAAAACAGACCAACTACTGTGAAGGAAAATACGATAAAGTTTGAAGGTGACTTTGACTTTGAAAGTGCAAATGCACAATTCAACAGAGAGGAACTTGATAAAGAATTCAAGAAGAAACTAAACTTTAAAGGTTTGTGACTTCATTAAATATGAATTGCAGAGCTAGTAGTAAACACTACATAGACAAACCGATTCTGAGAAACTGCATGATTGCATGTGACAGCATCTCAAATCTTGTGTGAGGGAGCAAGAGAACAGATGGCTCTTCAGAATGCATCAAGGAAGTGTAATACGTTTTATTATCTTCAGATGACAAAGCAGAGACGGGGGAAGAAAAAGGGGACCCTGGAGTAGCAACTCAAAACAATGATGGTAATGCAGAGGAGGACCTTCTGGGGCCCAACTGCTATTATGATAAATCCAAGTCTTTCTTTGACAACATTTCTTCAGAACTGAAATCTAGGTGAGTATTTTCTAAAAGCTTGGGTTTTTTAATGCAATTTTAGGCATAGAATTTTAGACATAATCTATTTCACATGGTGTAATTCTTTAAAAATCTTAGAATACAAGAAGGTCTTTGGAAGAGTGTATTGCCATGTGTTTCATGGCTTGCAAGTAATACGAACCAAACTTCATGTAGTGGGATCAAACAAAAAGCAAGGATTTCAGCTGATACTGAGGCACTTGCCTGAACTATGATACAGGAATTTCCAGTTCTGTTTCCCAGTACTGAGTTTGAACCCATTGCTTTTAAACAAATTTCTTATCTCATTTGTGGGAGGAGGAGGCATCAGGGTCATGCTGTACTGAAGAGGGTACAACTTGCAGACAGGAGCAAGCTAAACCTGGAGTCTGGGCAGGGAGGAGGTCTGGTCTGTCTGTGGAAACGCACTAAATTGTTAGGAATGTTAAAAGAAAGCTTCATCTTTTGCTGCTGACGCTGATGTTATCAACTGCCTGGTGAAGTAAGACATCCCTTTTAGTGTCAGCATGTGAAATTTCCTTGGTAATGTCCCTGCTTCCCTTTAGCAATGCTTTCTTCTGAGCGCTCGCAGTAAGGCATTCAGGACTAGGCAGGCTCTGCTAAGAAAGGGACACACGGGTGCTGTGGTGCTAGCACTCTGCTGCAC